TGGGAAAGTGCAAAACTATGACTTCTGTCCAACTTGGTTCGATTTAGAATAAAGATATCGTTTGGTTTTACTTACAAAACATTTCAGCTTGACTCTGATAACTGTCCTCACACTGAATAAGGTACTTTTCCTATTGAATTCAATGGAGTTTATGGTGTAAGACATTACCCAACATCACAAAATCAGTTTTAACAACAAAAAAGTCTTTTTGTCCTGTATTTAAAGAGCTTTTAAGCATGCCACAGGACAAGAAAATACCCATAATGCAGCATCAACAGCATGCTGGTATAACATCAGCAGGACACTACGATGGCATCACAGGAGTTTAGTTTTCCCCAAAATGCAGCTACTTTGGCAGCTAAAGTACCTCTCTTTGAGTGGTGACGTGAAAATCTCATTCAGTTATCTAAGGAAAGCAGAGCTGTGAACACTGCCTTTCTTCTGAGAATCTACAAGTACTGGAAAGAGGTTGAATATCTCAGGGGTATCATCATCAGAGCTGCCGCAAGGCCCTTCTGGCACCTGATCTCCCCTTTAACAAAGCAAGTCTCCTCCCCTACAAATTGCTTAACATAAGAAACTAGCATTTGGGAAATCAGAACTGGAACAACCTGGATTACAGCTTCTCAGGTCCAAAGAACAGCTTCAGCTAGACAGACTAAGCAAACAGCAACCAGAACATCACACTGTGTGGTTATTTCCCTCAGAAAGCGTTATTTCACTTCCTTCCAGTAGCAAAAGAACTTGAGCTCAAGGCTCCCTTTTCCAGGTAGGTGCTCACAACATTAAATTCCTGCAAGACAACAAAGGGTGGGGAAAGGACACACTTCCTTCCCCCTCTGCTTTGCATTAGTTGCTAAACCAGCGTGCCCTTGAGAAGACCTAGAGAAGCAGACCTGCTGAGCATGGCAGGAGGAAAAAGAGCTGGTTTTGTGGGCCCGCTGACAGAGGGGAGAGCTGGATACAGGTTGTTACTGCAACCACAAAGAACTCATACAGAAAATCACACAGCTGGGAAAATGAAACACCATCCAAACCCAGACTGCAACAGGGAGAGGAGTTTTCAGAATCTAAGATCAGGAATTGATACTTTCATCCCTTTATTAAGCTCAAAGTAGCAGCCACCCATGTAATTTCAAATCTAATTTTCCTACGAGCAATCTTCAGCACTCAAAGGAAATTTATACTTTCATCTTTAGAAGAATTCTGATTCTCTCTCCTAAGGTGGGGGATCAAGAAGAAAACTACAGAGAACATGATTAGAGAAGTGCTGGGATAAACAAGAGTATTATTTTTGCAGAGAAAATACAGTTGTCTTGAAATATGTAAATCTGCAGTTCAGTTCAAGCAGGATGTCTTCAGACCTTTTCATGATTTATGAACTTGAGAGAGTCCTATAAAAAGGGAACACATTTTCCACAACAATTCTGATTTTCAAATGAGAATTCTCAAACATCAAAAGAAGTATTTTGAGATTAACTGTAAGCTGATAGTGCTTTTTTCCCCCCCTTTCTGTTTTTGAAGTTACTCCCTCTTCTTATACTGTTATGATAGAAGTCCTAAGCACCTAATCTTGCAATAAAAAGGAAAATCTCTGCTTTAAGCAGACTGCTTTTCTGTGCCAAGTAGTATTGCGAAGCACTGCCTAATTAGATCTCAGCTATCACCCACATATCCTTCAGACTCAGTGTTTGGCAGGTTTCTTCCTGCCACTACATACCAGTTTTCTCTAAGATATGCTAGTTTGCAGTTTCCAAGGTCAATCTCACCACATTTGCTGCCCATGCTTGTAACCACTCTTTGATAACTGGTGTTGCTGCTCTCACCGGTGGGTTAGGCACCTCTGAGTCCTCTCTTACAGAATTTCCAAGACACTGCATTGCAAGATGACATGTAATGGAATATCACTTCCCTTTCATCAAACTGTCAGTTATCACATGCAGGATCGTGAACATTTGTTCACTAGTATGATTTCACGAGATTCTGTAACAGTTTTCTTTTGAAGATGCCAACATATTTTATGATTCTGCCAATATCTGAAATCAAGCCATTCTAGTATGGTTATTTTTATACACTGGAGGTGTTTCATCATATACAGTTTCACGTACACTCAGGGAGCCCAGTCCTGCCTCCTTTACCTACCCAAACAGTCTCAGTGGCCCAGCTTATGAAAATGGGCAGAATTTGGCCCCATCGACCCATTTAACTCTGATTTAAAAAAAAGCACAAGTGTTGTCTTCTGACATCTTCTAATCTGGAATACTTAACATGATTTCTGGAGGAAGTTCAGCATTTAACTGACAGTGAAACTAATGGTCATAATTTATTAAATATTTCATAATAGTACTAATAGATGACAAAATTTCTTTAAGGAGATACTTTTAGATTTCCATTTTCTTCGCATCACCCTTCATCTCTGACACATGCCAGAGGAGCCTGGGTGGTGACAGATCTGCCTGTGTGCCCTGTATGCTCCCACCTGCTCCTCCCTGGCATAATACACCCTCAGATATCTGTGCAATCCCGTGTTGCCTAGCTGCCTTAACTGTAAGGAAAATTAATAACAGAGAACACTTTATCTAGGTTCCTTAAAGTGGATCCCAAACCTTCAAATCTGGGAAATATCCAAAGAGAGAATTTTGCAGGTTTGCCCTGTTGAAAGGGGCTGTAGCCCCTCATTAGGACTGTCCAATGTAGCAGGGGTAGCCCTTCTATGGGTTTCAGCTGCCTGCAGTCCAAGACCTTGTTCTGATAGCACCAGCTCTGAGAAATGTCTGAAAAAAATTGCTAAGTTGTGAGAAAGAACTGTGAGAAAGTACACAGAGCTGTGCCAGATAAGAAAGGCAACATCGCAGCAGGTAATGTTGAGATGTGGCTAGCTAGCAGTTCAAGGATTCAAAAGGAAAAACACTGATATGAAATGGTGTAAAACCCTGAGAGAAAAAACAGGTGGTTGGAAGATGGCAGCTCAGCAATGATCAACCCATTCCAAGGACAGCAAGGACTTTTCTCTGCATGACTGACAACTGCCTGGTCAACAGAGATTTACTGCTCCAGAGGAAACATTGCTTCATGAAATGTCACCTTCAGAGCCTTCCAAAACTGTACGTTGACTTAGGTGAACCTAAGTGAACACTCATCACCTTTTAGCCATTGATTATCAAGTGCCAGACTGGCAAACCTCTAGTCTGTCTTTGCCATGAGCTTTTATTCTTCACTGAGGATACTAGCCACATGATTTAGTGTTAAACTGGGTAATATAATGCAATGTTCTGAGGGATACTTCTAGAGTATGGAGTCGTCATTCCTGAATCATCTTGACATGAAGATCTGTGAGTCTCCTGAGAAGATCTGAGAATCAAAGGATTCACAGAGTTGATCTGTCAAGAAACTGACGAAGAATTCATTCTTGTAAAAAAAGCAAATCTGTAAAATGCAGGAATTGTAACATACAGTCCTTTGCTACTTCAAATATTCATGCATCTAAGTGATTATTATATTGTATCAATGCCTCGACAACTATGATTTTCTGAATGTATATTAAATGAATGTGTTAAACTGATATAAAAGGCACCTCCTTTCTTCCCATGATTTTGTAACAGAAGGAAGCCAACACAAAGTTTTTCTCAAACTTCCACACAAAGATTACCATTGGAACACAATTAAACCTGAGATTTCAGTACTAAAGGAGTTTGATAAAGATGTGAGCAACAGGGCAGTCTGACCTAACATTTTGATGTGACTGTAGAATATGCAAGCTAAAATCTCCAAGTTTTATTTTACTCCAAGTTTTATCAGTGGCAGTTGAAAGGATTGTCTCACGATGAGGCATTATAGATAAAATATAAAAAGACTGACAGTTTGCAGAGAGATCTAGTAAGCTGCATAGGTTTAAAGATCTTTCACCAACTTACAAAGCTGTAGTAATATATATTTTATTAAATATTTTTAAAAAAAAAAAAACAAAAAAACATTTAAACAAAAGCAATACAAACATTTAATGGAAGTCTGGTAGTATGTCAGTAGATAACAGAATTTATCAAGCTGCTGAAGACGTACGAAGATCAACTTTGTGTCTTGCAATGCCTTTGAGTCATTTCTGTTTTCAGATGGAGATGGTATGAAACCTTTGAAATCTTAAACAGAAGAGTACTACACACCCCTTGTGGTGTTGTTGAGAAATGCTAAAGAGAAAATGGTCACTTAGCATGAATTAGCTCTGGGGATGCTAATTCTATCTCTGCCTGAGATCCTGCTTCATGTACAGTTTCCTTTTCAGCTCTTGCTTACCTGGCATGTAGGAGCAGATTATCTTTTGCAGAGACTGTGCTGAAGGGGTGGTGTACAGTCTGGACTCGTACCAGACTTTCATGGGCTGTTTGTTATGCAGCATTCGCAGACATTCTTGTACTGCCATTTGATGCCTTCCCTACTGCTCAGTGTTATCACTGGCTGAATCAGGTGAATATTTAACAGAGTCAGGCCACCTGGAAAATAGTTTCCAACTGGGCAAATCAGGACAGAATGAACTGCTGACTGTACAGTTAGCATTCAGATTTAGTCTTGTTTCTTGAAAGCATCCTAAATACAACAGGTTGTCAAAGAAATAATCATAAAACTCTCCTTTAAAAGATTTTTATTCTTCCTGTGGATTAGCTGTAACTTGTTTAGGTGCTCCTCCTAATGCTCAGACCCTCGCCCAGACCCATCTTGGGCTGCAGTTGATCCCAGTAAATACTGATTTTGCCCAAGGAGCCCCTTCCCTCTGACGGCAGGGAGGCAGCCCAGCCCAGGCAGGGTGGCCTGAGCCCTTGCCCACTCCCTTCTCCCCTCAGGTAGCACAGTCCTCGTTTAAAACACAAACACCTCACAGCTCCAGAGGGCTGAGACCCATCCTGACCCGCCTCATAGGTGTGGGGAAGGGCCAGGGCTGGCTGGCCGCCCTCACGCCCTCAGGGGCTGGCCGCGCCCACAGCCAGGGCAGTGAAAAAGGCTGGGTTGGAACAGAGGCACCACTCACAGCGGATGCCTGGCCACCTTCTCCTCCTCTCTCCTCTCTTCTTCTCCTCTTCTCCCTGCCAGCACCCCAGCCAGGGAGCAGTGCCCTCAGGGAGTGGCAGTGCTGACAGTCGCAGCCCCTCGGCACCTGCCACAGGCACCATGATGGCGCTCAAGCTGTCCCTCATGGCCTTCAGCTTCGTCTTCTGGGCGGCCGGGCTCACCATGCTCATCATCGGCCTCTGGGCCAAGGTGTGGCTGGGCGGCTACCTGGCGCTGTCGGCCAGCAACTACCCCGACGCCCCCGCCATCCTCTTGGCCACGGGCACCGCTGTCATCGTCTGGGGCTTTCTGGGCTGCTTCAGCGCCGCCACGGAGCACCGGGGGCTCCTGCGCACCTACGGCGCCTTCCTGAGTGCCGTGCTGGTGGCTGGGCTGATCGCAGGGCTCTCAGGGCTCCTCTACCACCAGGACGTGGCACGCGGTTTCCAGGAAGGGCTGCGCCAAGCCCTGAACACCTATGGCGAGGATGAGGTGAAGGCAGACGCCCTGGATGCCTTGCAGCGTGCCTTGGCTTGCTGTGGTGTGGAGAGCTACCGTGACTGGCTCACTACGCCCTGGGCGCTCCAGCAAAACGGCTCGGTGCCCCTCAGCTGCTGCCGGGGCCGGTGGGGCTGCCGGCTGAGCCCACCCAACATCTACGAGTTGCACCATGATGGCTGCTTCAGCAAGGTCTCAGCCTTCGTCAGCAGCAACATGTTTTCTGTTGCCACTGCTGCCCTGGGGCTGGCGGCGCTGCAGGTGATCGGCATTGTGCTGGCCTGCCTGATGGCTGCCCGCATCCCTGCCCACCCACTGGGCATCGCCACCCCATGCTGAGGCTTCCCCCGGGGGCTGCTCCTTGTCCCCTCCAGCTCCTTTCCTTCCTCCAGGAGACCTTGGTGCACCTCATCTGGAAAACCTTCTCCTCATTGTCCCCACTTCTACCTGAGTGTCTTCCTCGTTGCTCCATTTCCTTCCTGGAGCCTGTGTCAGGTACATCAACACCACAGGCAAATCCACAGCCTCCTGTCCTGGCTGTGTCCCCTCCGTGGCAGCAGGTCACCACTGCCATCAGGGTCTCTGGACCTCTCCTACAGAGGGAAGAGAGGCAGCATGGACAAACGGCACCCTCTGGGGTAACAGGGACAGCAAGGTCAAGGCTGACCAGTTTTCTGGGTGCTGCAAACATACTGAGGTACTGAAAGGGGGGCCAGGAAGGATGAGAGGGCCTGTGGGAGCATGAGAGACCTCTCAGCATTTCATCGAGTGAGTGTTCTTCTGAGACTGGGAACTGCTGAATGTTGCTGGAAAACAGGACTGCACAAGCAGCACATCTGGTTTGGGGACACCAAAGCTGTGCCAGCAGGAGCCATCAAGGACTGTCCAGCAGCATGCACCCCAACTGTGTTTCACTGTCTGGTGAATTCCCTGCAAAGATGTCCAGTTCTGTACATTTGCTGTGTAAGGACTTGAGCTGTCTGGGTGTTTTTCCTGCTGTGGTGTTTCTGATGCCGGTCTCCATCTGGAGGTGGAGCTGTAGCTCTAAGTACTGCTCCCTCCTGCAGGACATACTTTAGCCAGGGCTTTGCAGGTTATGTCTTTGCAGGGCTAAGAAGACCTCAAACCCTGCCGGAGCAGAGGGTGGCAAAAATGGTAGGATCTGATCAGACTAGGGGTGGCAAGAAGAGGGAAGGGTGCATTTCCCATCAGAAGTTTCTCCTGAACTGCTGTTATCTTCAGGGTGAGCATAACAGACTCTGTTTTGTAGAACAATTTCTAAAAACCAGCCCTCAGCCTCCTTGTTTTTTTCCTTTTTCAAAGGATCTGTCTCAGGCTCCATACCTACTCTTTGAAGCAGATATAACCTATATAATCTAGAGGAAGCAGAGGACTCCAAGACTTGGGGGGTGGCCCTGGGTATGTGCAGGACAGGCAGCAGTGTGAATTTAAAGGATTTTGTTTTTCCCAGCGTCTTTAGGTTTGTATTTGGAGCCTTAGGAAGAGCAAGCCCTGCACTTCAGAGGGTCCTGAACTTTCAGAGCTTTGCCCCTGCTTCTTCCCTCTTTCTTAACATCTCAGAAATGGCCTTTTAGCTGTCTCCCTGCTGGCAGCACAAAGGCATGCTGAGCACCCTTCTTCCCTAGCAAACTGGGGAGGGAGGATTTCAGAAAGGAACCGGGAACCACAAAAGAACTGCAGGAGTTAACATCTTTCAGGGATGTAGCTAGCAAACCGTGGAGAATGGACAAATGCCAACAAATAAGAGTGGGACAGGAAATGTGCCATGAAGAAGGAGAGGACTGATAGCTTGGGAGGGTGACATTCCCCAGGGGGTAAGAGCTCTAATCACCCTCTTTAAATTCTCACAATTTCTGTCCCTAAAAGCACCTTGTCTCAGTATTTCCGTGCTTTCCCCTTTCACTCCACCACTGAAAATGGACTTCTAGGATTTTGTGACAGTGCTGCTGGGGTTGAAGCCAGAGCAAAACTTGTATTTCACTCCAGAAGATTCTGATTTCAGGTATCTTTGCTGTCTGTAAATGGTTCATACAATTTAAAAATAGCTGGACAAAACTACTGTCTTTTGTGATGGTGAAGCCTTTGCTCCCTGACAGTCTTCGTTTGTCTGAGAAAGGGATCAGTCAATTCTATGGTGAATTTGTCCCACCTGTAAAACTGTAACTATTTCCGACCTGGGGACAGTGCTGCAATTTGTCCTCTTAATCCAGATTAACTGCTTCAATCCAGAATGCTATCTACAAGCAAAAATCTATACAGAGCAGCAGGGAGTATCCAGCACTTACTGGAGTCCAGGCACACAAAACTGACTTTGCTGCTGTATTTATATAAATGATCTTTGCTTGTGGAAATAATTTCCTTGGGGTCAGTTCTTTTGACCAAAGCTCACAATATCAAAAGTGTAGAAAGAGGAAATGGGTTTCATCCTGATAATTTCTGCAGTTTGAGGTGGTGGGGGGTAAAATGCTCTCATCTCACAGAGTTTACAGGGCGTTGCTTAAGATACAAAGCCTGCAGTATACTTTTTGGGCAAAAAATTTGCGCCTCCATGGATAGAGATTAGGATTCTGGATTAACAGTTATGTTGTGCTTGAGTATTAGCTGTGGCTTTATTTAACTGTCCATTTGCTAAGATGTTAGGTGGCTGCATTAGGTAGTACAATAATCACGTTCCAGGTGAAGAGTGCAATGCAAAAAGGTTTTGTGGTCATTTAACTATTCATCTGCATAGATGAACTATGGAAATGTGTTGGAAATCTCTCTTTATAGAGAAAATGATGCTTCATTTTTTAGCATGGATTTTTTTTATTGTTCCTTATTTTACAGAAAATCATTTTTATTTTTGTTTGTGAAAGTCCCTGTCCTAACACATTTTTTGTTGTGGGTTTTGTTTTTGAATTGTGCATTAATGGAATTCCTGTTGTATTCTGGAAATCATTGTCATTTCGTACAGTCTTACCAGTGGGCAAAATGTATAATCTGTGTGGGAAGTGGTACTTCAGAAATAAAGTATCAAGTGTTACCAGCAATGCAAGACCCTGTTTTGTATCCAGCCAGTACTTGTATTTCAGAACAGCTATGCACAATTCAACAAAGTGTAAATGAAATGCAGTGTGCACTGAAATGTAAAGACAGAAGTATACTGTGCTTTTTAAAAAATTATTATTATTATTATTATTATTATTATTATTATTATTATTATTATTATTATTATTATTATTATTATTATTATTATTATTATTATTTGGAAAGATCAATTAAAGAAGCAATAACACAGACATTGTGGAGAGTGTGAGAAAGGGACATGGAGTTGCACCATATTTATCACAACAACTTTCACCTGAATCAATCAGATTTGAAAGCTTACAAGAATATGGCATTGGGTATTTTTTGCTCCACTGATTACTAAAATTATTTCTGGTATTGATCCTGACTGCATTATATGACAGCTGTCAGTCAGAATGAAGGATGCTGTTAAAACATAATCAAAAACCTTGTGTGGATATTCACTTCAGTGCACTTGCTTTATTCTTAAACTGTTAAAATAATCCTTAATCAGAACAGGAGTGACATGAGCAAGATGCAAGCATACCAGTGCATGTTTGTGTGGTGGCCAGGCCTGAGTCTCAGGACATCAACTCAATGTGATGAATAATTCAGAACATAAACCATCACTCTACACTCTTGGTCTGCCCTCACTGAAATAGAATAAACCTTGGCAAATGATCACAAAAAGGTTAGGCATACTTGTATCACTGAAGATTTCACAGACCAGCTGTGAGATTTAGTTGACTGTTTATTGCTAGTTCCGTGAATAATCAATAACATTAACTTTTGTAAATGAATGGCAGAAATGTCATTCGTTTCTAATCACTCCCAGATGAGCATATTCCCAGTAGCTGTTACAGTTGTCTTGATTTCTTTGTGCTCAGTTACCAAACTTTAATTTAATTTTAAAATGATTTAGATTCAATGTTATTTTTGTTCTGGATGGTCAGAATAGCTGTAACTGGAAAATGTTAAAGCAGACGGCACCATCCAGCCCTTGCTGGAACACGTCTTTGTTTTCTGTCATCCTGTCAGCACAAAGTCACTCATCAAAATGGTATACTTGAATATAAGCTGATCCCACCATTTACAGAAACATTAGGTGTTATTTAATCGATTAAAACACATACCAAAGTAAGTATAGGAGCAGGCTATGTTGCAACTGTAGAAACAACAGTGCTGTTGTTTGGGCAGGCTGAGGTTTAGGATTAGCAGGGTGGTAAGATTAGACCCTTGTTACGAAACAGGGTCTATTTTATAACTATGATCTAGATTGCCAAGGATACGACTCTTTCAAATTACAAGAGTGTTTTGATATTTTTTCCTACATCAGTTACTTACTGTACTTGTGTGTAGCTGAACTTCACACTACAGATAGCCAGAACTAAAAATGGGCTTTGTAATGGATTGGGAATCCTGAGAGGAATGGCTTCCCTGGGCCACTTCCCTGTCACATCTCAAATTGTGTCTCAAACAGCTGAAAAAAATAACATTGAAGGAAGCCACTGTAGTTTGCTGAGAAACCAATGAAATATCACAGTTTAACCTGGTTTTCATGTGTCCTCCACTGTCCTGTTCTGCTTTACGAGACAGTGAAGTTCAAATATCAAAGGATATGATGTTCCCACATTATCAAGGAGGAGATAAACACATGCACACAAACATTTTCAGAAGCTTTGCATTTATTGGTCAAATATACAAATTTGCTTGTGGATGAAATAGCAACAGAAAAAAATAGGGGCTACCTAAGTAACATGATGTTCTGTCCTTGATATTACATCTCATTTGCAATGAACACTCAAGACTGCCTATTGCAGAGAGGAAATCTTTTGTAAATGATTTTAATCCATGTAATATAATTTAGTAGAGAATCTTATCTGGGCTACAGGCTTAAAATTATCAAATTAAACATTATTTCAAATGCTCTAATTCTATAAAGATTTCTCTAATCTGCTTGAAGCTGTTTCTGTGAAGCCTTGCTTCTCCTTTTCTCCTGTTCTGTTACTGTCTGGAGTCATCCTTGGGCTGGATTCACAGCAGCAAGCTTTTGAGTTAAGTAGTGTTTGAAGCTTGAATCCTGAGATGCATGCATCTTAAGGTGTCAGCATTTCAAAGTGATGATATACTCTCGTAATAAAACCTGAGAAAAGCAATCTTTCCTACCTAGTGTTAATCATTTCAGATAGCTCCAATTCTTCCAGCTCACTAAGTTGGAGTGCCGGGAGCATCCCTGGTCGATTCTGGGACTGACTGAAGAGTTAGAATTGGTAATATTTTGGTTATAGGATTAGTAAGAGTAGATTTACTAATTTCGTACCATTTTGAGTGTGCCTTCCAGGGATGTTTCTGTGCTGTTTTGTTTCCTGATTGTGCAGAGACCTGTTTTGTGTCCTGACTACGCTGGGTTGCTGCTGCCTTTTAGTAATCTAGAGGCAGAGTAACTAAAATGGTAGTGTTGGGAAAATGACCTTCACAGCACAGTGCTCTACTTTCTACGTCTTCAGCATTCCAGCCACAACATAGAGGAAACCTCTTCAGGTAATGGATGCCTTTTACATTGTTTCTGACGTTTGCTGTTGACAAGATGTTTGTTTTTTTTTTTTTTTTGACAAGACTTCTTGAAAAGACTTTTTTGACAAGATGTTTTTCTCCATAACTGTGCTGGAGTCATATGTCACATTCCTTGACCTAGTGTTCTCATCTCCCTGTAACCCCCAGATCCTGGCATTCTTGCCAAATGGAGGTGGAGGCCAACTGCATCAGCATCTTGAGTTTTGCTGCAGAGTTTGCCCAGGGTAATCACAAAAGGAAATATGAATCCAGCAGCTAAATATGCCTATCTTGTGACTGGAAACAGATCTGCTTGCTGACACTGTTGAAGAAGACATCAGGATGCCTAGGTAATAAGCAGGATTCTGAAAACAGCTGCTCCACCCCTTTCCAAGGACATTTGTATGTGATTCTGGGCAAAATTTCTCCATGACCCTGTCATCTCAGTGACTTGTTTCTGGAGCTGATTGACCATTGTCTTCATGTAATGTCCCATTTTAGAAGCTCATTAATCCAAGATATTGCAAAATATGCCACTAGCGTAGCGTGTTCACACTTTCTTGTCCATTTTGCCCTTCCTAAACCTGTTTCTGTAGCTCCCCTTCCTATTCACAAAGTGTTGTTATCTAAGCTGTTATCTAAGCAGCTCATCTAAGCTGTTGGGTTTTGGCAGATTTCAGGGTCTCTTGAGCCAACTCCTTCCCACCTCAGGAGTCTGGCAGTCCTTCCAGGTCCCAGCTCCTGGTTCAACTGTTTTTTGAAAAGAAACCTCTTTATCTGCCTGGCTTTACTAACAGCAGCTTTCTAGCTCTAGTAGTCACCTTCCTGTTTTTTAATCATATGAAAAATTTGGCAGAAAGTCATAATTTTCAGAAAACTATTTTTCTATTAGATAACGTTTATTTTTTACTTGTGCAAACAAACAAAACTATACAACAAAAACTTCTTTGTTGGCTTGGTGGTAGATTTTGTTATTGCTAT